GGAATATATATTGGAATCGAGATTGAAGAGTTCTTCAGTCTCGACAACACATCACTTAGAGCTCTAGCTCACCTCTCTGGTGTTGTTCTTGTATTCATCTGATTAATTTAGTTCTTGCCAGTTCTTCTTGAACTTCTTGTTAGATCTCGAACCTGTATTTTTGTGTCAATGACAGGGAAGTAATGTCATGGATATACATACTTAGTTTAAAATTTACTTACAGAATTAAATAGAAGTAGGTAAAAATAAATTTATTTCATAATATTTTCTAAAAAAACTTCATAAAAACTTCATGAACGTTTCTTTGACTTTACATATGTTTGTAGTTGATTGAGAGGTTAAACACTCAAGCAATAAATTAATCTTTGAATGATTTTCTAGTCATTTTGAATGACACAAGAATATATTGAGGTTTTCTTTCTTTAAGATTCATGTCCTTGATAGTGTGAAAAATTCCAAAATCTTTGATATAGTATTTAGAACTTTCAAGTTTATAATATCATTCAAATATGAATAGTGAGGTTTCAAATGTTGTTTTGCAAATAAATTATTTTATAGACATTTTAACTTTAACAAGAAAAGATTTTTTTTTTGAATTTATTGATTTAAAAATATAATATTTATAATATAAAATAGTATTAATTTCTATGAGACTAAATAAGAAAATTACCACATTAAAATGTATAAATTAAGTTGCTAGTTTTTAGATAAAGAATTCTACTTATGTAATAAACAAAAATGTCTCAAAAAAATTGATATATAAACACAACTTTTATTATGTGATTCCCATAAAAATAACTTTCTATAAATATTATGTTACTTTACAAAAGATATTCCTACACACAATTTTGTAGGTTATTATGTTTTAATTTAAATGACTAAAAATCATCATTAAATTAAATTAAAAAATATATATTAATGGATAAATATTATCTCTCATGTCAAAAAATAATAAATTTAAGAATCAACTATAAGATTAGATACTATCTAAAGAACCACATTTTGAGGATATTTTATCTTTTTTTTCCACCTCACTTTTCTTTTTACATGATAAAATAAAAATAAAAAAATAAAAAATAAATATAAACATGTTATTTTATCTTTATTTTTTTGATCTACTTTCTTCTAAGATTGATATAAAAAAAATAAGGAATATGTATAAAAAGGTATTTTTACTAAAAACAATTTACAAATTGACCAAAATCACAAACACAATACTAATTTACTCTCAAGAAAGAAAGAAAGAAAGAAAGAAAGAAAGAATCAAAAACAAAAACAACTTTTAGATGAAAGTTTTTAAGGTTGATCAAATTAATCTATTGTATGCCCTATGAGTAAAATTGCATTTAAATTGGTTGAACTTGAATTAGGATTGAGTTTAGAATATTCACTACAATCCTAATTACTATGAAGTAAGTTTTAAGTGAGTTTAATAATCAAACTTTTGAAGATTACCAATGTGGTTGAATTACAATTCAATAATCTTACTTTGTCAGCTATTTTAATACTGTCAATTTATTTTATAAATTTTCTTCTTGCACAAGTGCATTATTTGTTTTTATATTGCATACTAAAACATATGCAAATATAGTATTTGCAATAATTTGAATGCTTTTTTTCTTTGTGTTACCTGAGTTTATTATTTGTAAGTAAAAATTATAAATCTATTTACTAATAGGAATAAAATGACTACTTATCACAATATGTGAAGTATAAAAATCTTTGGTTTAAAAAAACACAATTAATGTGCCGCCAAATTGAATAGGTTAACTTAATGTTATACATTAGTATTCATGCTGTAATAAATAATTTTAATACAATATATAATAAATCAAAACCTTACATAGGTGGATGTTCTGTGAAATCTGAAAGATTCCAACCCTTTTCCACAAAGCACAAAAAAAGGGATGTAATTATCCTTTACTTGCATTGATATCACATGACAGAACTGGAATTTTTTATGAAATTTTACAAGAATGTAGGTTGTTTTTGAATCATTACACACCTTTATATTTGGTATTTTCTATATCATATTCAAATTTCAAGCTTTTGTACCATGAAGGATGTATATTTTATATTAACAATTTGAATATTAAAAGGAATCACAAGGTGTTTGACTACTTGGAATAATGTGTATCAGAGGGAGCCCTCTATCCAAAATTGAAAGCAATATTTCATAGTTAGAATACCTACCTTAAAGTATGTGGTGTGTATTCCCTCTAAGTCATGTTTTGATTCCATGTTCACTATTTGATTTAGAAATGATGAAGATCTTGTCTATTGTGGCTAATGTGGTCGAATTTTCAAATCCTTGGTGATTTCGTCCAAACGACTAGGTGTTATTTTGATCCAGTTCATCCGTTTAATCATCCTGATTTGATATTGCAAATTTTAGTGTATTTGTTGTACAGCTCGTACATTTCATTCCCTTGATCTTCTCGGGTTACATGATAATAGTGCAAGACGTATTTGTTTCAGAGATTTTCAAAAGTAGAGACTGTATCTGCAATTTGGGTGCCTCGTATGATACTCTGAATGTAAAACATGTTTTGGTGAATTTCTGATGAGAGAATTCATTGAAGCTATTATAGCATTCGTCTGGCGAACGTATCTGTAAATAGTGGTGGCAAACTAGGAATTTATTGAAATGTTTGCGTTCAGGCTCTTCTCCAGTCCTCCCAAATGTACCACGAAGCTCAACACCAGCTTTTGCGTTTCATAATAGGAGTGAGGGTGGGAAGCGTATCCATCGACCTTCCTGCTATGATGCGGCAGAAAGACGAAGCACTCACAGGGTTGTCCAAGGGGTATTGAAGAAGGCTTATTTAAGAAGAAGAAGAACAAAGTGAATTATTTGAAAGGCTATGGGAAGATAACTAGCCCTTACTATGAAGTCACTGTTGATTTTATTAGATGGGTGGGGGTTCTCAAACGGTGAGAAAGGAAAGAACTCATACAGGGTCCGCTGTCAAGGACCTCCCTGGAATCACGATCGATGAAGAGAAGGTGGTGTCCTTCACAGAAGCCCTGAAGCTGAAGGAAGTGTCGGAGAAACTTGTGGTCACTGGAGGGGGTTACATAGGATTGGAAATGGGGTCTGATTGGGGCAGCAGCCTAGGCTCTCATGTAACCGCGGTAGAATTTGGTGCTGCGATTGTACCATCAATGGCTGCACAGGTCAGGAAGTCGTTTCAGCATTCACTCGAAAAGCAGAAGCTGAAATCTGAGCTGAAGACGAAAGTAATGACGAGGTGGAGGACATGAGGAAATGGTTTGACACTTCACCGAGAAGCTGCATGCACAAGGTGGATCACCCAGTACGCTGGAAGTGAATATAGTTTTGGTCGCAGCCGAAAGGACCCGCTTTACCGAGGGTCTTGGAATTGAGAATTTAGGGGTGAAGGTTGACGAGTTTGGACGAGTAGAAGGAAGTTGACCTCCACTTCTCGACTAATGTTCATGGAGTTCATGCCATCGGTGATGTCATTCCAGGGCCAATGTTTGCCCACAAAGCTGAAGAAGATGGTGTTGCCTGTGTGGAGCTTTTAGCTGGAAAGGCTGGTCAAGTCAATTACGACACTGTACCTGGTGTAGTTTACACTCACTCTGAGGTAGCCAGTGTTGGGAAAACAGAAGAGCAAGTAAAGCTGCTAAAATTCAGGACAATGTTGGAAAATTTCCCTTCATGGCCAACAGCCGAGCTCGCAGTATTGGTGATTGAAGGAATATTGAAGGTCATTGCAGAGTCAGGAAACCGATAAAAATCTAGGCGTGCACATTATGGGGCCTAGCGCTGGTGAATTGATTCACGAGGCTGTTTTGGCAATGGAGCATGGAGCCAGCAGCGAAGACATTTGCTCGTGTCTGCCATGGTCATCCTACTTTGAGTGAGACTGGGGAGGAGGCCTGCCATCGCTACTTATGACAAGCCTATTTACTTCCAATGTCTTCTGGTAGTGTATTACAAGCTTTACAGCTTTTGTATCCAAGTTATCAGCAATCCTCTGTTTCTATATCTATTTAAAATTTCTATTCATGTATTAAAACAACTTTGAGTAGAACTGTCATTGAATTGGGCACCATACGTAAATGCAAAATGATACTGTTTAAAACAATACTTAATGTTTAATATTACTCAATTTGGATGTATGGTGTGAGAAAGGCATCATCAAAATAAATACTACGACTAATATTAATGAATCAAAGTTCTAAATAAAAATGGATATACAAAGTTGTTTTGAATTAGAATCCATCAAAATTACTGCTATTGTTGACACTGTTGAAACAATTCTCTCAATTGCACAAATATATTTATTCATTTGATTTTTTTATTTAATTGTACATATGTATATGCATGTGCATGCACTCACAGACTGAAACTACCACGAAAAATTCAAATAAGATGTGTAGAATCGTTCCAGACACATATATATTGATATATGTATGCACACGTGTGCGCATACACAAATATTCCTTGAAGTAAAATGGTCAGATGAGGTGGAAGGGTTCTTCAATAAGAATAACATTTTTCACAAGTGTACATTCTAAAATAGGTTGCCGTAACTTAGATGACCAAGCAGGAACATGGTCTCCAAATTCCCCAACGGCACTGCCTTGGGCTCTGGGTTGTATTTTACACGAAAAAAGCCGACTTGTTCCAGAATTTTCACAGGATTCGGCCTTGTTCCTGAGGTGAAGGAGATGCTACATTGTTTGCATAGCAAAGATATTGAAACTATCTTCAAAGAAGCATTCAAACCTGAGACATGAATGGTTTTATTGACGCTAGACTCTAAACTTGCCGCTGTGCTTGAGCACAGTCTTATAAAAAATAAACAAGCTTCATGAAATCGAGAGATAACGAAACGAAGTTTTTCATTACTAAGGTTTCACACCCAGGCAAATGTATTTGCTTGATCGAGAAATACGAAAAGCATAATTTACAGCAGCGAATTCTACTAGTGAAAAGATGTGAACAATACACACATGTTTCGAGTTGATAAAGGAAAAAAGAAAAGAAAAGATAAGATAAGATAAGAACAAAATAGTCACCAACGTGAGATTGGTCAGCCAACCTAGACATTGTTTTCAACGAAAGCATTTCATGTGAAAGAATACAGTTAGGGCTGTGACCAAGCACGTCATAATGGTTATCTCATCAACCTAGACATGAAAGGTTCTTGTGATCCCTAGCCTTCACGGAAGCCTGACTTACAAATTTAAAAATTTCGAACTCTCGGATGTTGAAGTGTATGTCTTAGTTTGCTCGTGCGTAAGTGACTCAAATAAAAAAACAGAGTGACCTGACATTTATCCAGGAATTAATATTCTTAAGCCTTGCCGGCTTTGGGAGTTGGTCCGAAGTAGGTGGTAAAAAATCCCATTCCCGCAAACCTGAAAAAGGGAAGTTCAAATCCATCAGTGTCAGATTTTAGCCACCCACGATATACGAGTTGTTGCAATTCATCACTAATGAGAAGTCCAGCGAGCAGTCTACCAGCAGATTGACAGCAGAAAATGGATAGCAGCGATAAGGGGAAGGTGAATACGTCAAGGCCATGATAATCTGCTTCAAATCGTTTTCTGGATTCTTCATCAAAGTAAGCGACTGTGCGATGAAGACTAACGAAAACCATGACGCTATCTTTTGCTGCAAGCACAGCAGAAACAAGAAACAAGGCCTGCTTAGGACTGTACTCCAGAATGTATTTGACAAAAGAATTTGCAGACTACTGCAAAAACAATTAGCGCATGGTGGGTCACATAATGTGCAGAAAGTAAACGAGATTCAATCACAACGAAAACCTAAAACCCAGTACCATTTCATAATCCATCACAGCTCAATATCACTTCAAATAGTTCCTTCACCGGATCCAAATATCGAATCAACACCAAAAGGCCGATAACCAAAACAATAACGATGAAGTTGCCCAAAGAGACTCACCCGCATCATGACCCCTAAAATGCCGAAAATGATCGCTAACAAGCTGGAGTAATCAGGAGGAAGGTCGTTAGGGTTGACGAGAGGAGCCACATAATGCTTGACGGCAGTTGGCATGCGTGGATCCGACTTGTCGGCCATCTCTACTTGTCCGCTCTACACAGCACCGACTAGCAACGCAGTGCATGCAATCGCACTGATTCCAATCCTTCCTTCAAAGGTCTCCTCCACCAGCTTCTTCGGATCCGACTTGTCCCAAGAACGGAGATGCGCCGACCCGAGTCTTCTTCTTCTTCCTAGCATCAACCCTCCTCCTCCTCTCAATGTATGGATGAATCTATCCATCATCCTGATGCCATCTTCCGGAATGGACTACGACAATGACGGCGACCACCACGAAAGGACACAGTCGTCGTGGGTCCCTTCCCTCCTGTTTCAAAATGCTTCGTCTTGTCAAGGAACATCAGATTTTTGGTCGATTTTATGCTGGTTTGGTTGTCGCACCACAGTGTGGTGGGTTGATCATTTCAAAATCCTGGTTCTCTAATCAGCCCTCTGAGCCAGAGAACTTTACATGTTCCCTTTGCCAAGGTTACTACTATGAATCACAAGATGGACCAAAATATAAAGCTTTACTTTTGGGAGCATTAGAATATTGGTGTTGGCCCAAAGTAAAAGATATAGGCATTAGTAGATATGCAATCATTTAGATCACCATAATAATCAAGGTTTACAAGGGAGGCAAAAAGGACAATATCAACTCTAGTCTTATTCAAATAATAGAGCTTTTTAATGAATCCTTTGTATTCCTTTTCATTGTTAAGAAATCCAAAAACAAAAAAAAAAAATCCTTGTAAATTTTTAATTAAATATTAATTCATTGAAGAATTTGTAAAAAATTCAAATCCTAATTGAAAATAGGCACAAGAAATTTGAAAATAATTATACTTACCAACAGAGAGAAAAGTCAAATAATTTACTCAAGGATTAAGCAACGTTCTTTTTTCAATCTTAATCTTGAGCTTTTTGTCTTAATATCTCTAAATTTACAAAATATATCTAGAACAACTATTCTCACAAATCCACCAAATTTTAGTAATAGATATGTAAAAAAACTTACAAAGTTTTTTATAATTCAAATTCCATTTTTTTTTCTTACAAAAGTTAAGTCATCTAAACCTATTTATAACTTTGTATAGCTTTCACAAAGCCATTACACATTCAAAACCATTTAAATCAATGCTTATAGAAACCTTCTCTAGTCTATTTTCTAACCTTATTTTTTGGTCAAATAAAAAATAAAAAATAAAAAAACAAAAACTTTCTTCTACCAAAAGCATACAATTTTGTGCTTTGGAGTTTGGTTTTACTCTTGATTCACAACTGGTATACTTATATCAATCCAAGGATTTCTTAGGTGATTTTTATTAGGAAATATTAATTAATTTTTCTTAAAGATTCTTGTAGTATTATTTTTATTAAACTACTTTTTTTTTTTTTTTTTTTTTTTTATGGTTCTACAAAGTAAATTGAAGTTTCTTCAATAAAAAAGATATCACAAACTAAAATTTATACTACTTTCCTATCTTTTACTTATGATTCTTGAAATAATTTTTTTATTATATTTTTAATAAAGCTCTTCAAAAATATCAATATTTATAGACTATTTTATTTAATATTCATATAATATCTTGTTAATGCTTAGAACATTGCACATAAGACTTAAGTCTTCTATATCAAATTTAAAACTAAGATCGTATTTAAAGGTATTATAATTTTGTATGATTTTAAGTTTTGTGAATTAAAAAATGATTAATATTTTTTTAAGTTTACATGATTTTTGTGGAAAATTTATAAGTAAGAATTTTTGAATTACTAGACATAACTCTTGACATTAGAAGATTGACATAAAGATTGGAAAAGGATGATAATTGTCACCTAAAACAATTAGAAGTTTTTTTTTTTTTAATTTGTAAATATAATTTTCTTTTAAAAAATATTTTTTCAAATGATTAATTAAAAAATATGAAATAATTAAAATGAAATTTATAGTTAAATTTATTATTATTAAAAATTTGAATAGGTATAGAAAATACTTAAGATTTTATTAATTAAATTTGTAAATATTGCTTTAAGATTTTATTTTCATATTTTTTTTATTATTTTAAGATTATATATTTAAAAATAATTATATATCAATTTTTTATATATTTCAAAGTATCTTCTAAAATCTTGACATAATTTAAACTTCTCAACTAAATCTAACATCACATAGTAGTCTATGATATCAATAGATATAGTCAAAGCTAAATATTATTTGTTTCTTTACTTAAAATAATATTTGCACAATCGAAAAAATATATTATTAAAGTTGAAAAAATTACTATCACAAATATAAAGATGTAAGTATTTAAAATTATAAGATTTGTAATAAGATCCATTAAAAAAATGACCAAGTATGCTTTGTAATACATAGAGGTTGAAGAAGTCTATAGAGCCAATCATATGAAGTATTTGTTTTGAAACAAGTGACATAATTAAATAATAATAATAATAATAATAATAACATTTTTTTACATTAAAAATACTAAAATTTTCTTAAAACAGCTTCAAAATTTTCTTATAGCCAAAGAGTCCTACAATTAAGAAGTCATATTGTGATTACAATGCATATAATCATGCTTTACATTTTGAAACCTATAAAAATAAAATAAAATAACAAAAAATATCCCTTGAATTTTATTTTTCTAGAATTAACATAAAGATTATTTATAATATGAAAAAAGATGAAAAAATCCATATTCTTAAATAAAATCCATAAAAAATAATAAAATTAATAGAAATTATTAATTTGAAGACTTTAAGATGTAGTTGCTTTGATTTCAAAATAATTTTTTTTTTTAGTCATACAAGATCTCTTCTTCTTTAGATGGAAGATAAAAATATCTAAATAATATATTAATAAGTCTTATTATTTTTTAAAGTCATCTATGATATCAAATACAAATTATTACAAAGTCAAACTTTAATGGATTTGGCAATAATTCATGACATATTGTTGTATTGTAATATGCCTATTAGATGTAAGTATAATAAGAATAATAATCTAAAAGAGTCTATTTAAAAATTTTATAGATTTTTATTAAATTAAAAACTAAAAATAATATATAAATTATAATTTATATTAAATATAATTATTATTTAATTTTTATATCTATAAATAAAATAAGATATATTAGAATAAATATCAAATTATTATAAAAATATTTGGATAAAAGATGAAACTATTTTCTAATAAAATAACTAAAAAATAAAAGATTAAATTGATATTTAATGGTAATTATTTGTGTTGAAGGTTAGAATTAAATCCCAAAGCAAAAAAATTGGAATCAAGAAAAAAAACCAAGGTCTTAATTCCATAACAATATAAGACTAAACATACTAGAACAAAATTGGAAGTAATTAAATAAAATATAACATAAAAGTCATAACTAAGTAAAAGAAAATAGAACCAAATAGAACCAAATAAAATGGAACAAGAAAAAAACAACTAAATTATATTAAAAAAAAGAGTTTGAAGCCATACTTGATCTAATGCCTAAATGGCCTTAGCTAATCCTATTTATGCTTTGTTCAACTATTTTGGAACTTTCTAAAATTTCCCTAATAGTAGGTTCTACCAAGATAATTGTTCTTCTAGATGATTTTAAAGGTGGATCCTATCATGATAATCACCCTAAGCCTTTCTAAAAGATTCCATGATAAATCTTATAAGAACCACTATCCTATCTTCAATTCTAAAAACCTTTCAAAAATTCTTTGACTACATATTTTTATATGTAAATAATACAAATATCCTATCCATGCCCTGTTACAACTAATTCTCTTCTATTAATGCATAATGTCTTGGTTTTGCTCTTGATGGTATTTCCAAATGGTTTCTTGACAATGAGTGAGAATTTTTGTAGGTTCTTACATTCCTTTGTGGATGGAATAACCTTTCTAAAGAACTTTGAACTAAAGTTGCCGACGCCTACAGTCATAGCGAAGGTAGCAATGCTCCAAAATATTGTCCACTTCATGCCCCTATTGGTCACCAATTACGACCAGTAGTGGTAGTGGTGATTGGTGTTGGTTCAATATAAAATTCTTTAAGCTACAAAATATTGAAGACCAGATAGACTCAAATATGTGGCAAAAGCTCAAGGTAGTATATAACATCAAAAATTATTGTAGAAATGCAGAAAGGTTGAAGCCATTGAGGTATTAATTTACAAACTTGGGTTGATGTGATAAGTCAAAGATTAGCATTGGAGAGTAATACTTGATCACCTTCTCGAAAGGTCTTATGTTGCTAATGATTATCTGCATACTACTTCTATCAATTTTAACGCTATTATAAATTATTGTATATATATTCATCCATTATCAAATTGTTGGTATTAATGGAATAATAGAGAGTTATTGGCATAATTGAATGTTGACCGATGTTAAAAAAGAATGAAGAATGATCAATACTTATTTGAATACTATCATTGTAAGCAAATTCCAAAGATGTCAAATATTCATCCTAGTCGTTATGCTAAACTGTCACAAATATCCATAGCATATTTTCTAGGATATGATTTGTATGCTCAATTAATCCATTTGTTTAAGAATAAAAGATCATAGATATGGTAAGTTATATGTCCAATAGCTTTAATAAAGCCTACTAGAAACTTTCCATGAAGTACGAGTCTCAATCTAAAACAATGATATAAGATAATCTATGGTAAGAAAAGATAGTATCAAAGAGGACTTGTATAAATGTTGAGGTATCAATTTCATAGCACATTACAGCCAAATGAAGTTGCTTCAAGAGTTGGTCTACAAAGATAACAACCATAGTCTGATTGTAAGGAGTCTATGACAAACATGTAATGAGATCTATAGTCACTTGGTCTTGATGAGCCATAGGTAGTGAAATTGGTTATAACAGCCCAAAAAATGTTGCGTTGTGTGCTTTGTTATGCAACATGATTCACATGAATACAAAAAAGCTCAAACATTATAGTCCAAACCTACCCAAAATCATATCTTTGAGATCCATTCTAAAGTTTTTTCGCACCTTAAATATCTAGATATTGGGATGCCATGTCTATCTTGAAATATGCATGTTTTGAGTATAGCATCATCAAGTATATAAATTTGCTTCTTGAAATAGAGCAAGCTATCATTGAGATAATAATCTTAATATTACACATCATCTACCTTCAATTAATTAGTAACCATTTTAAAATAAATAT